AGATTGACAAAATACCTCCATAAACTCACAACACGATATTGTGCCTATAAAGAGAGGGAACTTGCAAAGGTTTGATGTGGGAACCCACCATCCTGTGCGAGCATTTGTGCGTTCTGCGCAAAGATTTTCTGTGTAAATAGTATTTCTATTTCGTAATTTGTGTGTTCGTAACATTTATATATTCTTAATTAGCATTTAATGCTAGCATTTAATTATTTTTGTTAATTAGGTCAAATGAGTGGCAGTTATACCAACAAATTAATGGGTCATTGCATTAAATCAAATTCATTACTTTCGTTCCGAAAATATGAACTTGATTGATATTATGCGTTCACACTGATTAGAAAAACCACCACCCAAATGCATTATAAATAGGGTGTGTTCCCCAACATTGTAGTCCCAAGAAACATATCAAAACCAAGTCTTGTTGTTAAAGCTTTAGAAAAAAGAAACGATATGGTGATGAAGAAGACGATGGGTGGGTCAGTGTGTGCGTTAGAGTGGGTGATTGTAATTTTGGCATTGATTGCAAGCTCTGTGACTGTGAATGCAACAATTACTTGCCCAGATGCGATACTGAAAATACTTCCATGCGAACCATACCTGTCGGGCATCGGTGACGTCTCTGTGCCGTGCTGTCAGGGAGCTCAAAACTTGAACCAGATGGCTAATTCTACAGCAGATCGCCGGGCTGTTTGTGCGTGTTTTAAGCAAGTTGGACCTTCTTTAGGGGTTAACGTTGATAGAGCTAAGAAACTTCCCGATCTTTGCAAAATTGATCTTCGCGGAATAACCATTGACTTTACTATTGATTGCAACACAATTCCGTACGTAACACATCTTACTCACTCTTTGTTAGCTATTTGTTTATCTAAGTCACTAGACTATCTTGATTTCAACAAATTAATAACGACATCAACAGAGTGGTAGCCAGCATCTTACTTTTTGTCCCATATAACCATTTAATTTTTTTTTATCTTTTTGGGTCAATTTGAATTTGAATACTTTTTCACATATCAATTGAAACTCTAAAAGGGGACTAATCTTGTGTAGATGTTTGTTCTTTTTCATGAGTTGTGAAAGATGGGTTGAAAGATTACTTTTCGTCCCACCTTTTTTTTTTTTTTTTTTTTTTTTTTGTCAATTTGAATTTGAATACATTTTTATATGTCACTTGAAACTTTCAATAGCGGTTAATACTGTGTACATATTGGTTTGTCCTCCTGAGTTGTGAAAGATGTGTAGAAAGATTTACACAATATTAGTCCTTTTCTGCGTTGTTCCTTTTTCTCATATTACTTATTGTGGAAAGATATCTAGATTTTGTCTTATGTTAAAGATTTTTATTGTTCCTATGCAGAGTTTAATGGATGGGTGAGGAAGGATGCATATGACACGGACAAACCTTGGCCAGCGACAACAAAGATAACGCTTAGTTGTTATGCTTTAATTAGGCCAATTTGAAATTTCTTTGTATGGACAATTATAATATGAATAAATTTGTTATCTTTTCTGGAGATTTCCTTCCCTTCATTTTTCCTTTTTCCTTGCCAACATTTGCGCCAAAGAAATTGCGGTACCATTGTGTAGAGGAAAAACTTCTCCACAGATTAGTTGATACAACATACCTTTCAATGTTGGATTCGGAAAATTCTGGTTCAGATACATAGTTTCTTGGAATGCTTGCGGTTCGGATACACACCAATTTACCAATGGGATACATATCATTGGACTAAACCTGATTATGAAGGAAATATTGTTTAGCGTTTAAACTAAAATTGCATTTGAATTTTATTTTTTTATTTTTTATTTTTTTTGTGTGCTTTTTTTTTTTTGTGTTTTTGAAAATTTCTAGTTCGGATACAAGCCAATTTATTACATATCATCAAACCAAACTAGACGAGTTACTAGTTTTTTGAAGAATATATTGTTTTGATTTCAAACCCGTGTTTTTCTATTTTTCATTTTCATGTTTTTCTTTTTGTAGTGAAAATTTTCATATTTAAATCAAATTTATTTATTTTTTACATTTCAAATAGGGTACTCGAACCATAGGTCTAATTTCAAAACTTTTGGGGCAATAGCCCCAAACTCTATTTTTTTGGGGACCAAAAAGATAAAAATAATTTGAAAAACTATATTACTCCTACCCATATGTCTATTTGTTCACTATCCATTTATCGGTGCATGTCACCTATCTATTGTCATGCCCTTTATTTGCAAAATCCAAACCCATGAAAAAAGATATGAACACAACCAGAAAGAGGGTACAAAGTAATTAAAAGAGGATCTGAACGAGAATGGGTTGATATTGCTATAAAGAAAAGAATTTCAAGTCCTCTCCAATATGTATATGGCAATCAATACATACTCATCTACTAAATGGCATGAATATACAACATGAATTCTCATCAAGGCAAAATAAAATTTATACTACAGAAATGCTCATGAATTCTAATCCTTTCACTGGATGTGATTCGATGTGTATTTTTCACTTTAAAGCAAAGGTTTTATTAACTTGTTAAGAGTGCATTAAATGTGATTATCAACCTCAACTATTATACAAAGTTGAAAAAACAATAAATGTATTGAACTAAAGAAATTTTGTTTTTCTGATGGAGGCCAAACCCTCTATTTATTATTTATTTTTTATTTTTGCAATTTCTTCTTATCTACCTTTTTTTATTTTACTTTTTATAATGCACAAACAAAAATTGTAGGATAATAATTTACAAATAGAATATATTTAAATAAAGTATCCAAAATTATAAATAATATTTAAAGAAAAATTATATTATACCATAATTTTTTTTTACAGCAGTGGCACTTTCGTAAATAAAATATACATCTTTATAAATTTTAAATTTTAAAATGATAGGTTCATAATTTATAACATATTATTATATATGTTTTTATTTGTATATCATTACTTATGTTTAAATATTAAAAGTCTTACTCATGATTACATAAGTATATATGATTTTTTTTTTTTGTATAAAAAAATTATTTATTTAACATTTTAACCTTTTATTATAGCTCGTCATTATGTGCCATTTTGTTATGTGGAAATTTTGATTAGTGTACCTTTGTCAAATACTAGGAAAATCTTTTAGGGGGTGCATATCATTGGTTTCCTATCACAAAAATGTGTAATTTTATCATAAAATTTGTTAGGAAAAAATAAATGATTTTCTACAAACAAATCAATCAATGAAAATAAAAGTTAATGCGGAAAAATTAAATCAACGACGACATAATAATTTTTGCATGGTTCGAAATTCGATTCCACTATCAACCAAAGGTTTTTAAACGATTACAAACGACACACGAATGGTCTCACAAAATCACTTTTAGGTGAATTCCAAATGATCACAAATAAAAAGAGGAAATATTTCACCAAATAGATTAACAAAAGTTTTCTAAACAGATTGTAAAAGACCCAAAATAATAACCCAAATCAACCGTACAATGACTGCCGAAATAAACCCATGGAATTGAATTCCACCAAGCACTATATCAATTTGTCGTTGCCACACAAAATCAAAACCCACCGAAGATGAATCACTGACCCCAAAAAAAGGATGGATTAGCCGTTGTACCTCATACAAACTAAACAATACTTTTTGGGGTTTTTTTTTTATGATAGCCCTAGATGTTACCAAACAGATTATTAAATATCCATTGGGCTTCCAAAAGTTAGATGTAATATATAAAAAAATATATTATAACCAATATCAAACTTAATTAAATTCTTTTAATAAACTAATTGGGTCCCATATAGTCCAATAAGGAGGTATGCCTAACAATTCTCCCCCCAGTGACTTAGGTGGAGACATCAACTATATCCACCAAAGTTCGACATTTGAAATATTTGTCCCTCAACAAAGTCTTAGTGAACATATCAGAAATATTATCATCCGTGTGAACCTTTTCCTGTTGTAACAATTTTGAATCTAACATATCAAGAATCCAATGGTATCTCACATCAATGTGCTTTGATCTCGAATGAAAAGTTGAATTTTTACTCAAATGAATATCACTTTGACTATCACAATAAAGCACATACTTTTCTTACTTCAAACCCAATTCTTGCAAAAATTTCTTCAGCCATAACTCTTCTTTACAAGCTTCTGTAATGGCAATAAATTCAGCTTCCATACTTGAGAGAGCAACAAATTCTTATAATTTAAATTTTCATTCCACAGCTCCCCTTACAAAAATCATCAAGTACCGAAGTAGATTTCCTAAAATCAACATTACCGGCCATGTCAGAATCCGTGAACCCATCAAGTATCGGCTTACCATCCCAAAAACAAAAACACACCTTCAAAGTCCTTGAAAGATACATACCTTAGAATCTATTTCACCACTACCCAATGTTCTTTACCCTGATTAGAGAGAAACCGACTCACCACACCAGAGGCGTGAGCAATATCCGGCCTTGTACAAACCAAGGTGTATATCAAAGAACCAACCACTAAAAGTCAAAAAGTCATTAAAAATGCTAAAAAGCCAACAAACTAACTATATAAAAAAAAAAAAAAAAAAAAAAAAAAAAAAAAAAAAAAAGTCAAAGATTCATTTTTCTCCCTACTTTTTGCACATTTTTTTCGTAAAAAATTAAAAAATCATTACAAATATACTAATTTTTTTTACCTCATATTTTAGCCACAAAATAAAAAAGTTACTAAAATAGTATGTTTCCAAACGAGGCCTATTGATAGTTTACCCTATTTATTTTAGCACTACACATTAAGATTTTGAAATTTGGAGCTCTCTCAATTTAAAACATATGGCCAAGATACATATTTAGAAAAGAGAAAATTCATTTTTATTTCTATACTTTTCTTCGATTTTCAATTACACTACCAGACTTTGAATAATTTTAATTTTATCCTTATACTTTTTTAAATCGTATCAATTTAGCCCTTGTTGTCACATTTAAAACGAAAAAAGTTTTTAAAGAGAATACATTTTGACCCTAAATTTTAAAAGAAAGACACAAACACACCCTCTCCTACCCAAACTCACCATCTCTTCTCTTCTTTTAATTCTTTACTCTCTTATGCAGTGTCGGCGTCGTAAAAAAGGAATGCCCCTGTCAAGTACTTGGGTGTTCCTTTAATCACCACTAAGTTGAGAGCATTAGATTGCCAACAGCTTATTGATAGGATCACTAACTGTATTAAGAGTTGGACCAATAAGGCCCTCTCTTATGCTAGTAGAGCTCAGCTTATTCAAACCATCCTGTTCTCCATGCAAGTCTATTGGTCCTTGTTGTTCATCCTCCCTAAGAAGGTTGTTAGAGAAATTGAAAATTTACTTAGAGCCTTTCTTTGGTCCGGGGTTGATCTAAAAAAGCATAGTGCGAAAATTGCTTGGGATAAGGTTTGTGCTCCCAAGTCTGAAGGTGGTCTGGGTTTTAAATCTCTGGAGGTTTGGAATAGAGCTGCTATTGCCAAACATATTTGGTTCCTTTTCTCGGGAGGTGAGAAGTCGATGTGGTGCCAATGGGTTAAATCTTACTTACTCAAAGGCAAAAGTTTTTGGAAAGTCCCTGTTCCTAGTGACCCTTCTTGGGTCTGGAGGAAGATTCTTTCTCTTAGAAAGTCTATATTTCCTCTCATCGTTCACAAAATTGGGAATGGTAATGCTACCTTTTTGTGGCATGATAATTGGCATCCGGTGGGCTCTATTTGGGACAAATTTGGGAATAAGATTATCTATGATTCTGGCTCTCTGGGGAGGCTAAAGTGAGCAATATTGTTAATGGGGATTCCTGGTCGTTGACCCCCCCTTCTTTTAAACCCAGATCTTCGAGTAATGATACTCCTATTTGGACTCTTACTCAAGATGGTATATTCTCCATCCAATCTGCTTGGAACCACTAGAGAGATAAACATGATAAGGTGGCTTGGTATAAACTGCTGTGGGGTCCATTCAATATCCCTAGAGTTAGCTTCATTGTCTGGATTGCCTTACATGGAAGGCTTAACACTGGGGATAGGTTAGAATCTTTTGGTCTGAGTGATAATTTCAAATGCTCCTTTTGCAATCATCACACTGAAAACCACTCTCATCTTTTCTTTAATTGCATTTTCTCTCTTAAGGTTTGGGATGCTATTAAAGTTAAGTGTAATGTAAAGTGGCCTGACATTTTTTGGCCTGATATTGTTCATCTTGCTATTAGGGAGAGTCTGGGTAAATCTCTGAGAGCCATTACTACTAGACTGGCTCTGCTGTGTACTGTTTATCAAGTATGGATTGAAAGAAATAACAAAATTTTTAATAAGGAAATGAAACTTGAAGAAGTTGTTATCAAGTCAATTGTTCAAATGATTAGAGGCAGGCTAATGTCATTAAACAATTTACCTAGATCTGCAGGTGATGAATGGTTCTTAAAGCAATGGAATTTGACTGATTCCATTCTGAAGCCCCATACTGTTCGTATTGGGAGGGCTGCTGAGTGATGGGAGTTTCTTACATGAGAGTTGAGAGTTGGTGAGCTTCATAATGTGGGGTTTCTAACTGTTTGTGTCCTGTGCAGCTCTATGGATTGAGGGTTGAGTGATGTGAGTCATAAACTTCAAATCTGTTAGACATTTTGGTAGCATCAATGGAATATTTGAGGGTTGAGTGAAAATAGCCTACATATGTTTTATTTGCTAACCTGTATATATATATTATCTCTTTATTTGCAGGATAAGGAAGCAATTTTCGAGTGTTGTGAG